AATCAATTAACACAAAAAGATATTTTAAAAGATATTTATAATAGTTTATCTAAACTTATTCAAAAAATTGAAGGTAAATTTTCATGTTTTAATAAATAAGATTCTTATATTAATTATTTATAAATGTAAAAGTCTTGATATTTTATCAAAAGAACGACGGTCGATAACTGTTAAAATGGATTCCTCTTTTATTAGTACTGTTCGTAGGTCGATTGAGCCGTTTTTTGTGTTACATTGAACCTGACTATTTATTACAATTAATTCCGTCGGGTTCAAAACAAAACCGATTAGGTCCATTATTGTTTATTCGCATACTATATGAAATTTCACTCTAGTTTAATAACCTTAAAACTCAATTCCCAGGATCATAATAACATGTTGAAAAAAATTCGTTTTTTTTTTACCCAACCCTGAGGTGAATTTCTCGATAAAAACAAAATTTTGTCAACATATTTGAGTAGCTGTGTATAGCACAAGTAAGTGCTATAAAGGAAATTCTCAATATGTTACTTTTTGTTCTCGTACTGTTGAAAAAATTTCTTTTCTAACAACTGAGCATCGATTTTCAAGATTTGAAAAACCAACGTACTGAATAAAAAAATTGTAGTGACTTATGTTTACAGATGTTGATGATACATTATCAACGTTACATTCCTAATTTTGATATACTCGCTTATATTTAAATTCTGTTTTTTTTTTTCTAATGTATTTTTAGGTCAAAAATTAAGTAATTTCGATGAATCTCTTCTTGAAGAATTCTCAGTATTAGATATTGAAATGTTACAATCAAAAGCAGATGATTTATTTCCAAAACCATATCCATTTCTAATACAAAATTCACGTTTACCACAAACATTTATTCGTGGTCAACCACCATCATTTGCTGCACATCTCTATGGAAGTCCAATAACCATTGATACATTAGGCGGTAGTCAATTATCATCAACATTATCATCTTATAGTAGTACACTTTTAAATGATGACAATTTACAAGATGTTAAATTAGATATAATTACTCTTAATAAAATGTCATTATCATCATGTTCAACATTTCGTCGATGTTTACGTTGTTCAAATTTTTCAAGAGTTTTTAAAACAAAACCATATCCATTTCTAGCTTATCGTCTAAATAATCGATGTTTATGTGGTGGATTATTTCTTTTTTATACTCGATCATCATCGATAATCAATAATAATACCAATAATAATTCCAATGAAACATCAGCTACGGCTACAGCCAGATAAAAATTTCTCCTAGGATGAATTCATTTAATGATGATCTTTGTTCTTTTTTTTTTGTCTGTATTATAATTTGACAATAAATGACACGTATAAGCTTAGTTTAAAATTTATGTCAAATAAATTAATGTTCCTGAATATATGGAAAGTTAGCTATGACTTTGAGTAATTCTTGCTGATATTCACTAATGGATCTCTGATGACCTTCTAATTAATTGTGCGGAATGAATAATTGAATTCTCTCTTAAATGGTATTATTTTCAAGGGAGATCATCGAGAAAAAAAAGAGATTTGCTTCTGTTTTAGTAGTAAACCATGACAGAATTCGCTCGACGAATTATGTTGGCCGTCTAAATAACTGCGTTAGATACAGAATATCACTTTGCATGGAATGTTGCTAGTTTCAATAGAAAGGCTGGAACAAAAACAATATTTTGATTTCGACTACTCGAATCTGCAAACGCATATCTGACGCAGACTAACATAAGAGAGGTTTAGTAAATTGCGTTGTGACGTTGTAGTTGTTAGCCTTATCAATAGAGATCATTATTTGTCTCACATCTCTGCTGACTTACATGTTGCGGAAAACTTTAATAGTTAGCATAAAAGTTCTACAAGCATTAAAATGTTGAGATCACTTTTTCCAACACTGATTCGAAACGCACTATAGAATGAATTCAGTCGTTTTGCTGTTTTTTTTCATTTTTCAATATTTGATATTATTGGAGAAAATCTATATTTAATTCAGCTTTTAATCTGTATTGATTCAATTTAAAACTGCCAAATATGTGTTTTTTCCAAGAGGAAAAAAGCGAGACTTTCCAAGTGCGTACTTCAGAAATACTGAAATCTCGCTTTTTTTCCTCTTTGACGGAAGTGCTGATTTTTAGTACTTTTCGTAAAACAGCCATAAAAAAAATCAACGGTTCAATATTTTTCAAAACGGCTTGCGTCAAAGTTCATAAAACTCTTCCCTCTAAGAAATTATCCTAAATTGAGCAAAATCTGAAGACCTCGTTTGAGCAGTTTCTCTATGAGACCGATCCGTGACTTTCATAGAATAGCTCATAGATAAATATATTTCGAAATATAGTCTATCTAATGATATAATTAACTATGTTGCAGCTCTCAAAGAAACTGAAAAATCAGGGATCCAAACGCTGTGATGTCCCAGGAAAAATTGATATCTAAGAAGATTAAACCGCTCAACAAACAAACAAATCAAGTACATTTTTTGAATCTTCAACCCGGAATCTATACAATAGAAAAAAGCTTTTCTTTCTACAGTATCTTTCGAAGGGCTAGTCTCGTAGAATGAACAAGACATTCACGTTCAACTTCCAAACTTTTTACAAGTTTTGTCAGAATGTTCTTCTATCTATCATCTCTAATTCTTGTTACCGCAAACATTCCTTCACTCCAGTATGGGTCTTCAAAACGCTTAAGTTTCTTCAGCTTTTCTGGTTTTGAGAAATATTTAATTGACAAAAATAGTATTATACTTTAAAATAAAATCATTTTTGAGCAAAAAATACCGTTTCCACCAAGCCAGAAAATCATACGTCCAGTTGCCGTTCGAAAAGTCGATATTGTGAGGGAGCGTCTGAAGATATGTATTTCTTTTCTATGCGATCATTTTTGCTAAAAAACAACATTCCCAATACCCACATAGTTTTATCATTTATTTGAAAACAAAAAACAAAACAAGAGTGACTAGTTTATTTCATATGTGTTCCTGAAGTTACTTGTTCAGTCTGTGAATTAATACGTTTTTTCTTTTTCGTTCGACAACATGTAAAACATATTTGTCGACACAATCTTATAGATAACATTAATATAGTCATGCCACATAATATCAAATATAAATAATAATTTAAATCATTTTGAATAATATCTGTTTCAAGAAATGATAATTGATGTAATGGTGGACCAATAAAAGCAAATGCTATAAATAGATAAGGTGTCCATATTGACCAAAATTCATTTTTATAAATAAATTGATCAAGAAGAAAATAAACAAAAAGAAGAAATAACATAATCGAGAAACCAATTGTTGTACAAGTACTAATAGATAATGGTAATGTAGCATTTAAATCAAGATAAATACCAATATATTCAACAGTAGCACACATTGTTGTATATGCAATTGACATTGTATAGAGAAAAAGACTATTCAAAACAAAATAACGTACTATTGCTAAATCAATTGATCTAATAAGTAAAAACATAAATAGAAATATTGTTAGATAAAAATTCTCCTTACAAACTAGTTGATCTATATAGATTTTCATATTTGAATAATTTTACTGCAATTATTCGACAAGTTATAATAAGAAAAATTAAACTAAAATATAAACATGCACAAGATACCTACAACAAAAATAAAAATTCATTTTGTTTTTAATTTAATTTGAAAATAAATTATAAAATTCTCTCTCTCCATAATATGTACATACTTCCGATGATAGAGCCAATTGACTAGCAATTTGAAAAGAAAGTGCAATAATGAAAAGAATACAAAGACATGAATTAAATATGTTCGGATTTCGATAAAGACATCCAAAATTAGTATGTCTTGGAATAAATGATAACACATAAAGTAACCAAAATGTCTAAGAATAAAGATAAAAAGACAAATAAATAATGTCAAAACATACCTGCCAATTTTCTATCAAACGAAATAAAAGATTTTCAATAAGTATATTTGGTCGTAAATCTGATGTGTAAACACGGGTAATAGGTCGTATTACAAGACTCGACCAAAACTCTTGAAAAGAAAAAAGACAACAAAAAAAAGTTATGCACATAGTTTTATCTTCGTTTTCATTACGAGAATTTGTTTGCATTATTGCTGGTATATAAGCTCTCAATGTATGAAGAAGATAAAATATAGCAGTAAAGACCATAAAAATGATCTGTATACAATTATGTTTATTTCGAATTGCAAAACGTATATCATTATCTTTTTCATTCGATTGAAAATCACCTGTACTAAGAATAAAATGAGCTGGTTTTGATACTAATCCTGTTGAAATATTTGACTATCAAAAAAAAGGAAAATATTACATTGACTTAAATATATTGTTCAATTTGAAAATCATATCTACCTTGTTATGCCTCGAACGTATGTTGTGCATATCAGACATTTGATTAAATTTGAAATCAATTGGTCTTGATTTTTCAAACGAATATTGCAATACAGAATTATCTTTAACAAATGGATCCGGCATATTTTTTTTTTTTTCGTTGAATAGAATGTGAAAAGACAAATTACGTTTGTCTTTTGTTTCCATAGAACATAACGAGCAGCTGTTACCAATTTAACGTTGTTTTTTTATATTTCTATACTTAAAAGTTTTTCTTTTCGACCTTCAACAATACAAAAAAAAAAGAAACATTATCATTAAGTTTTCTCTTCAGAAATAATCTAGAACCTATTAGGCAAGTTTGTTGCAAATTGAAAGTTTCTTTACGAACTTTGCCTTGTATAACAAACAAGTTTTTGTACTCATCTTAGATAGTACTTACTTGAATATTAATTTTCTATGATACTAAAAATAAAAAGATACATATATCATCGATTTTAAAGAGCGAACAGTTGATGAAATATGTGCTGATATAGTATATTGAAAAAAAGATTATGAATATGAATGACCAGCATGGATATTTTAAAAAAATATGGATTAGTAAATACATAATATATCTCTCAATCTAAGATTACTTGGAGATTTGATAGTGTAAGTGCAAGCCAATATCTGTTTCAATGAGTATATATTGTTCTTTTTTTCTGATCGACGTAAATATCCATTAATGTGCAAACTTTAGTTGACTGATAACACACTGAATACATAGTACCTATATTTTGATTATGATATTTGAAACCATCAGAGATCTAAGGTAGCCTTGGAAACATGAGGATTATTATTCATTGTCATCTGAAATATAAGTGAAAAATAATGTCTGTATGAATTGATCTGGATGTTACATCGCGAAATAATAGTTTTTTTTGTTGATTCCTAGAAATGCATCGACTAAGAACAGTAAGTTCGATGCACAAATTGCTAGATTACACTTTCTCGCCTGTTGAAAGCGATATTGAAAAAGAATTAAGCTTAATAAAGCAATATAATGACAACTTGACTTCAACTAAAGATGATGAAAATACATTGAAGAAGAACCAGTACTGATCTCGAAGAAAATATTGATGATGTGATCAAAGTTTTGGTTTTTTACAGTGTCTGTGATGGTTTACTTTATCTAACATTAATTTGATTAAAAATGATTTTAGTTGTCAAACAAGAAATGGCTTTTCCAATCTTTGCCTTGTGCGAAATAACACGATGGCACATTTGGTTTAGTATTAGTGGTGTATTAAAGTTTGATATTGCCATCAGAGTAGAACATTGAATGGTCCATCTTTTGAAGAAAAAAAAATCAACGTTTTATTGTATTCCAGAATAGAGTTGCATTCAAAAGAAAGATTATCGCAACAAATTTTGCTACATCCGATATAAAACCAAATTTACTTCATGTAAATCTTATTCAATTACCGATTGTGCATTGAATGTAATTCACTAATCGTCGACTTTCATCTAAAGAAAAAACAGAAACATGAAAAAAATCAATAGATTATTACAAGTAAGTTACCAGTTCTATCATTTTTACTTATTGATACTGATCTGAAGTTGGAGAAACGAACAAATGCGAAGTGTACACATATGTATGTCATGTATTTAATCTATGCTAAATAGCACAAGAAAAGAAGGATAAAAGGACAAAGACGTGAGTTATACTATAATAAATTTCAATTTTTATGCTTACCGTTTGATTTATTTGTCTGTTGGTAAATTTTACTTGCTGATATTTAAATTTATTAACAAACCTAATTCATCAATAACTGATCATTTCATTAATTTTTGTAACCAAATATTTTGCTCCCTATTTTGTTTTTCGCATAGTCAGTTAAGGATTAATATAGTTGGCACATTGGCAAACCATACGAGTCACTGAATACGACTAAATCTGTAAATTTTTAGTGCTTGCATTCGAATCTTTCACTCTGACATAGGGAACACAGATATATGTGAAGCGATTGAACGTAGCTGATAATGTCAGTCTTTCGTCTTTCTACTTATTGTTTAGAACAAAATATAATTGTCATTTTTTAGTTTCTCCGATCACGTCAGCAGAGATGAACAAAAAGGCAAATGGCTATAATTAGATATTATTAATAAGTTTCAATTAAGTATATGATATTTCATAAGTTCCGGACCCATTTTGATTTTTTTTGTATCTTTCGAATATACTACAAAGTTAAACAGACATAGAAGATATATGTTTTAGAATAACATATAAGTTATCATTCAAAATTTATCGTATTCAACTGACATCCTTATTAAGAGGCTGCGTTATTAGTTAACATGTTAAAGTAATTTTATGGAGTTTGTCTCTCACTCTTTTCCATTATATTTTTATCCTAACCATGTAAAAAAATCATGTTTAAACCTATTTTAGTATTAGACTTCATAACAACATAATGATAAAAATGAGTCACAGTAAGAGTGTGATGTATAATTTTTTCATTCTAATAAGAAGAAAATAAATTTGACAAATATATTTTAGCATGTTCTCTAATAACGCACTTTCTTACTAATAATATTAATTGAGTATAGTAAATTTTGGACAATAGTTCAGCTGTTACAAATATATATTGTCCATGTGTGCTAAAGTTTATATAATAGGAAAATCTTTAGAGGAACTCAAAACATTCTGAAATGTATGAAACAGTATTTGTATATATTACTTGAACAGGACGCGCAGTAGTTACATGAGCTTCTTTAAAGCTAGAATAATTTTTATCGCATATCTTTACATGTTAGTGAGCCTTCAGCTTTTGAATTGAGTATAGTCTTAGAGAGAACAATTATATTGCATAGATGTGGATTCCTTGAAGTATAATTTAGATTAATTCTTAGGAATACACTGAATTCAAGAATTCAACGCGTTAAACTTCTTGAAGGAAACTGAAGTCGTAAAAAGCACATATTTTAACGACTTTATTTTCATTAAAATTCCGACGTGTTCTCACGAGCTTTTTGTTATTTTTGGTCTTTTTGAAGTTCACAATGAGAAAACGATCACGATGTCTCGCATCCTACTTTTTACTATTGTGTCTTTGTAGATATGAAGATGTTCGTACTAATTCGAGTCAAAAGATTTTTCCAAATGAATAAGCCATTGATGGATAAAACCGATTCAAAATCTCATACTCGTTATTGCTGTCGTAGGTGAACTTTTCGTATTATCTTGATAGCTATCGTTTGTATATTTATATTTAATATTGTTCCTCATATTGATTTTCACGATCTGACACTGTCTACTGTCGATGATCTCCATCTTTCTCAATCTCTTCTATGTACGCACAAGAATAGAACCAGACTTGAATATGATCGTTTACATCTAGTTCGCAGTCGTGTCATTATTTGCGCATTGATACACGATAGCAAAGTGTGAATTCCTTGTATTCGACAGCAAATCGAAGAAGTAACACAACTTTTTGCTGATTACGCCATCGTCATTGTTGAAAACGATGCAAAAGATAGAACACGACAAGAATTAATCGATTGAACACAGGGTAAGAAAGTTGTTGGTCGCATTCATGTTATCGGATGTGAAATTCGTGTCAATGACCATCGTTCATCGGCTTGTCCAAACGTAACGCTGTTACGTTTTTGACACAGTTTTTTTCGATTATCTCGGAAACGGTGAGAGCTAAATAGATCATTCCAACGCCATTCGACACAGCTGGTCTTACTCTATTTA